TTTGCATGTCGCTGGTCCTGGGGATTTTTGGTTGCAGAACTTTTCTGAGTTTTTAGCTTAATTGTTCCCTGATTTTGTTGATGTGTGGTGGGTAAGCTCAAAATTGGGTGAGATTTTCATCTGGGTCTTTGATTTCAATGGATTAGAAACTCATAATTGGCGTTTTTATTTCATATGGGTTTTTGGCTGCACTAATTCCCCTCTAAAGCATGGAATTTCTGCTTCAATGTCGTCATTTTGTTGGGTTTCTTGTTGCTGCCTTTGTGGTGGGGTTTGGTTCAAGAGAGCAGACGAAGAAGAAGAAGGGAGAGAGAGGGAGGGATTTGGGGGTGAGACGGAGAGAACTGGGGAACAAAAGAGATGATTTTAGTTTTTTGTTAATTTTATTTTAAGTTTAATTCTTAGGTATAATACCAAACACAGTATAAATAATACGATCATTAGTCCGATACTGCACCAAATGCCTGACTAATTTAGTCAGTACTATCTGGTGACTATTTATCCTATCCGACATAAATAGTCAGTACAGTCCGAGCTACCAAACGAGGCCTATGTGTACTCTATAACTTTACTTTTCTTTTTCACTATCCAAATTATAAAAAATAACCAATAATAAAGAAAATAAAAATGTGATTGTGATCAATACAATCCAATCCAATCCAATCGGACGCAGAACAGAAGAAGAAAGGTTGCAACTCGCAAGTGCAGACGCAGACGCAGAGACGAGAGAGGAAAGGATATTGGATTTTTTCGATTTGTTTTTCCGAAAAAATAATTATTTAATTGAGTTGGTGTCTAGACTCTAGAGTAAGTTTTGCGCTCCTAGTTCGCTTAAAATGTCGAGGATTCTAGCCTCCGAATCTTCAACATGAGGCCCGTCCAATGGCCCAAATCATCACCATCTGGACCCAAATTCAATTGAATTTTATCGCTGAAAAGCCTGACCCAATTCATTTCACACTTCACTCAATGTGCGTGGGTGCGTTTTTATAATTTATTTAGCTTGGTATACAGTTTTATTTATTTATTTTTTTTACGAAGAACAATCAACTACAAGAAGTACCAGATGCGTACATGTTTTTAGTGACCAATGTTTAGATCAATCAAATACCACTCCATCTATCAAATGTACCACAGAATGAGCCATAACAATGGTATTTTCACGTGTATATATGAATACGTGTTTGTAATTCACACGTGCATGCAATGTTCTATTGACTAGATAAAATCGGCAGTTTCAAGTTTAAACAAAAAATGATAATTAAGCAAAGCACATTTACATCACCTTCATGATTCTATATATTTACAATTACCAAGCGCAAGCAGGATAATCAACAAAATCATGCATCTCCCGCTGGTGACCTCGAATCGAAATCCAACCTCGGACTGCATTATATCGGAGCTTAATTGGCCCTTTCCCCTTCAAAATTTCAAATGCTGCTGCCTTGGCTCTGCATTTCTAGTTACTTCCCTCTCAAGACCTAGTTCCATCACTACAGTGCAATTCCACTTTCTCGATCGGCTGCTGCCTGCAACAATCTTTCTTCTGACTTCTGACTCAATCATGTCCTTAGATGTCTCAGCCACTCCGGTCTTTCGTCTTTTAACCCACAGTTAGCTACATGTTGATATCTCACTCTCTAATCTCTCCTCTCCTCTCCTCTCGTCTCCTCTCTCCTCTCCTCTCCTCTATAGTAATATATGTACACCTTGGGAAAGCCTGAAACAGAACGAGGTACACTAACCACTTGCTTTTATTCTAATCACAATGTTGTATGATATCCAATATTGACAGCTTACCTTTTCACAATAAATTGCTTCCCAATTTTATATAAGATGAATTCAATCATATGAGGAATGCATGGAACGGAACATTGATCATTGAATCTATGTTGTTCAATTCTCAGGAAAACTGTGGTTGCGCTATAAAACATGTTTATATCCAATGCTTATGAGCGATGGTATTTCTCTTCATAACGTCGAAAGATGTCTCAATTTAAATATTCATAAATTGGCATAATATTGTTTGACTTGCGATAGCATGAGAAAGAATTACAAAATAAGAAAAAGCTCAAAGGTTCCATTGCAATTAGAACTAAAAGATTAGAAATCATTGAATGCACCAATAATTTCAGGCGTTGACATTAATAACTAGTTAATTTTTTATGGTTCATACTGCTTTGGTGTCACATAACATTTGCAGTCGCCAATCGTGGATACAAAACAAGTTACATTCCAATCATACTCATCATATTCATACTATAAAATGCATAAGCTCGAGCTGCGGACTTTTTTTTCTTTGTTTGTTTAAGAGCCAATAGAAAAAAAGAAGTGAAACATGTTGTTTTCTAATAAGTGAAACTGAATGTTGAGAGTATTAGTTCCACGTCAAAAAAATAGGATATTGCATTTGTTTATAAATAATTGAGTTACATTTTATATTGTCAACTGGTTTTATAGTAGAATCTCAAATTTCTTCGTGGTATCAGGGTAGATTGTCCATCGTGTGAAGCCAACCGACCACATATACTCCACGTCACTTGATTTGTGTTATCCACGTGTTAGGGTTAAAAATTCATCACACGTAAGAGAAAGGAACATGTTAAAGTATTAACCTCGTATTGTCAAACATGAGATGACGTGTTGAGAGTAATAATCACATAAAAAAACTAAGAAAATTTTCGTATACTTATTAGTAATTAAACTATTCTTCATATTATCATTGATTTTATAATGCAACATCAACTGTCTTTACCAAAGCATTGCATCTCTGCAAACAACTATGTCCAGTTTTTAAATAATAATATTTATTACTTGTTAAGGATTTAAATATCGAAAATATCGCCGATATTTTCGTTTTTTTGAGTTACCGATATTTTAACAAGTATTTAATGAGTTTTCGTCAAAATATCGCGATATGACATCCAAAAATTCTTAAAATTTTCTGAAAAGTCTCAATTTTGAGACTAAAGGGATTCGAACCCCCTCCCATTTGACTCTTAACGCCTTAACCACCATATCACTTATGTTGTTGTGATAATATGCTACTATATTTATATATATTGTTTGTTTTGAATTCTTTTTACAAGAAACAAATTTGCACATATTCCAAATTTTTTGTGGTATTATATTTTAAATTGTGTCAATTAATTACTTAGTCAATGGCATGTGGTTTTTAATTTTTCTATTTTTTTATTTGGTCACTTACATGGTAGGGCTGGAAAAAATTCTCGAAAATCCCAAACCAAACCGAAAAAGTCCCAAACCCAAACCGAAAAATCCCAAACCAAAACCATCCTGAAGTTCGGGAATCCCATCCCGAAAAATACCGAAATTTTCGATATGGGATTGGTTTCCAAATCCCATTTGTTTGGTAATCCCGAAAAATACCGAAGTATTCGGTTTCCTATTGACTTTTGGGTTTTGGTTCTTGAAAACCATTGCCATGGTTGCTGACTACTCTTCACAATACACTTACTCTACAAATAGAGATGATGAAGATAGTGAAAATTTTGAACCTCATAGGAACTCTATGTGGTACTAAGTCACTCATGTATCTTACCATGCAATGTATAACGTGTAAAATATTGTACTAATTCATTATATATAAATGATTATGGTGTGTTTAAACTTCTTTCATTAATTACTACATATTTTCTACATTCACAATGTTTGCCAGCTCGCTATATAATCAACTTAAATCAGTTAAATCCATCATGCAATGCATTTCCTTCCAATTTTTTGTGATAAACTAATAAATAATTGACTAAATAAACATCCTGCAAAGTTTCAATAAAAATTTCCAAGTTTTTCTTACAATTTCCGTGGTTTCCATGTGATTTTTATCGATATCGATATTATCCCGATATTTCCATCGATATTTCCGTGTTTTCGGACTACCGATATTTCCAATATTACCGATATTTCCAATATTACCGATATTTCCAATATTACCGATATTTTCTTCCTTGCTTGTTACTGATCATCATGAGGATCCAAACGAAGAAATGACATGAGCAAACGGAAATAAAGAAATGATGAAAAGGGCAGGAGGGAGAAAGAGAGATAGAGAACCGTAGAGGTTACAATGCTTATTATGATTTGTATATAATTAATATATGTTTAATTAATAGTTTAATCTAAGACTACTTTGATGTATTATTTAATTGCTCAGTAGGAGCCATGTCAACATAGCTCGGAGCTGGCCAGCCCAACTCCCTCTCTCTCTCCCCCTCTCTTTTTAATATTCTTTGTTGAATGCTTTTATATAAAAAAACGGAAAAGTAAATATATATATGTTTATACGTATTACGTAATGTATATTGTCTTAAATTTGCCGTCAAGATGGGATTGTATTGTTCTTTGCCTTTCTGCCGTTTTTTGTACAATTAAATTAAGTTTCAGGTTTATTTTTTTACGTGGTTGTATTGTGGGATTAAGTTGGATAAAATGACGAACTTAGCAAAGCAAAATACCCACTAATCTCATCTGTATTGGTATTGCTGTACAAGCACAAAAGGAGGCCCAACTTGCGTTAGCAGACAACTATTATTCTGCTTTACAACCCACACAAAAAAAAGAAAAAAGAAATAAACACACACGGAAAGAATAAATTCATTTAAAAAATATATATAATCGACCAAAATAAATATCTCTACTAATTAATAAAGCATTCATTGTCAACTAAAATTCTATGAAATTATCAGTTTAATCATCTAATTAAAATAGAACATAATAAGAAATATGGGACATAAATGTAATTTCACACAACCAAATTTTACTATTTTTTTCAAAATATCACCTACATCTAATCCTAAACATATCTCTAATTAAAAAAAAAAAAAAACATTCACACTCCCACACTCTCTATTACTCTCTTCATCTCTCATTTTATTTCAAAAACAAAAATAAAAATTTTTCTCACACACTTTATTTTATTTGTGCTCATATGCTAGTAATAAATAAACAGAGGCTGACGGACACGCGCCCTCTCTGTCCCTCTGTCTCTCTGTCTCTCTTATTCAGTTATTCTGGTTCACGCTTGACTCATATTTGATGTTTTGTTTTGGTGCTTGAGCATAAACCTTTGGTGGGTTGATTGCTTTGCAATTGAAATTGAATTTGCATGGGGTGAGGTGGGGGTGGGTGGGTTTTCTGTCTGTCCCTTTGATTGATTGAACTAGAACTATATATCCATCGTCAAAATTCAAGAGAGAGAGAGAAGTAGCAGTACAAGTGTTGTCGGCGCAAGGTCACTTTCTGTCGGCATTGTCTGTATCCAATCCAACTATGATATTGATATTTGAATATTTGATTGCATTTCCATTCAATTTAATTTAATCCAAATTACAATCCGGATTGATGCTTCTCCGATTCTCCTCTCTTCTCCTCTTGTCTTTACATTTTGATTTCCACCTGCATATTCTTCCATTCGTTCATTCCTTCCTTCATTCAAACATGCCTCTTTTCTTTCTATAATTATATCTCCTGCCTGCAAGTTTCCATGTCATGAAATTTCAATTGGATTTGGGTGGCAATTTCCTTTCTTCTTCTCGTTGTTGTTGTTGTTGTTTTGGGAGGCTGTTCGTTCGTGTTGCCATTGGCAAATGAAGCTCGAGTATTTAGACAACTGGCTGCCTTACTTTTCTGGGACAAGGACCAGAGGTTTGCAGCTGCCTAAACCCCATGATACAATGATGAACCCCATGATACAATGATGCTTTGTTTCTATCTATGTTACTCTGCATTTCTATTCTATTGCATTTTGAATGTATATCACTACTACTCCGTTGGCATGACATTTTACTTGATTTTGCTTCGACTTTGATTACAAAAACCATTGCTTTGCGGTTGTCATTGTAATCATTGAAATTTTGCACCCTTATAGTTAATCCCCACCCTCACAACTTGCTGTCTAATCTGTTTTCTAGTTATCTGATGGAAGACCAATAATAAGGAAATAGAGAATTGAAAAGAAATAGTTACATCTGATGGATTTAAATTCCCTTGCTTTCCACGCACACCTTCTGTAGATTATCATCTTCTGCGTTTTGTATCCTCTGGATTCCAGGTTCAATGCATGATAATTCGTTTTACAACAATACTACCCATAGTTGAAGTGGTTCCATACCAAATGTCAGCGTCTCTTGCAGCAATACTAGGAGGTGCTGCAGGAGCCGTGACTTTGGTGGGGATAAGCATCATACTCATATGGTTCTGTGTATCTCGCAATAGGAGTGTTCCAAGAACTTCTGAAACGGGTTCTTCAGATCCTTCTATTCAAGGTAAGTCTTATTTCACATATGTTTGTTTCCTTCCTAGGGGAAGCACACTTAGTATAGCATAAACAACTGCCTTTCAATTATCTGTTTTGATAACTTGCAGTGGGAAGACATGGAGGGGTTGAGTTGTCAATGCGAGAAACAAGGTGTTTTCATATGGAAGAACTGTCTCTGGCCACAAAACATTTCAGTGATAAAAATTTGATTGGGCAAGGAAAATTTGGGGAGGTGTATATGGGATTTCTCCAGGATGGAATGCTTGTGGCCATCAAAAAGCGACCTGGAACAGCTAGTCAGGAATTTATCAATGAGGTAATGATCACTGTCCTAACCTTACATGTGAAAGAAAAAAAGTTAATGAATTTGCAAGGCCTCTTGACAGATTGGTTTTCTCTTTCACGGCATTCCAGTATTATATATAATTTTTGAGTTTGTTTTAGGGTGATAAGGGTTGTGCATTAACTGCTTATATATATTTGAAGAATGACCAGTACATGCTGTTTGAACAAAATTTAAAAAAAAAACAAAAAACTCTTTGTACAGTTTCTGGTCGTAAGTTTGAATCAGTTTTTTTTTTTCTTCCTTACCAACTTTTCTTCCTGATGAATTTGATGGACTGGTATATGCTTTAGTTTTTTCTCTCTTTGAATTCCTTTTTGTGTTTTTGCATTGAACTGTGTATCATGGTTTATCTAACTGGACAGAATATTATATCAGGTACACTATCTCTCAGCTATTCAGCATCGGAATATTGTTACTCTCTTGGGTTACTGCCAAGAAAATAATCTACAGATTCTTGTGTACGAGTACATTCATAGTGGAAGTGTTTCCAGTCACTTGTACGGTAAAACTCTATCCAGCCACCATTTTTAATTTCGTGAGTCAAAAATTATGCTGGTGATATAAATATCTACTTAGCATATAAGGGTTTCTTTAACTTCGTGTGATATGCATGTCGAATTATCATACATGCAGTACTGTATTTCGTACGAAACCCTTTTGTTTTATCAATTGTTGTATCTATAATGCCTAAATTTCAGCATGGAGTTTTTTCAAATTTTTCTTTGCAGGCACTGGCCAGCATTCACGTGAAAAGCTAGAATTCAAGAACCGCCTATCAATAGCTCAAGGGGCCGCTAAAGGTGATCATCTGCAAAATCAGTGAGCATTTGTGGATTTCCTGGTATCAGGTTTTCATCTCTTTAGACAAAAAATATTCGGTTATGAGTATTGGTCCGTCAAATTCTTTTGTCAGCAACTGTAGGACTTTCAGATGTTCTAAAGTTCCTGCTAAAGTTCCTGCTTCTTTTTTGTGAGAAGTCTGGAAGCAACGGTCTCCTATTTATTAGAACTCATTTAGCTCCTCTGTCTGCAGGTTTGGCTCATCTTCACTCTTTGAGTCCCCGTCTGGTGCACAAGGATTTTAAAACAGCCAATGTTCTTGTAGATGAAAACTTCATAGCTAAGGTTGCAGATGCGGGAATTCGCAATTTCCTGGGAAGAGTTGATATTGCAGGCTCGTCTTCTCAAGTGGCTGCTGATGAGATGTTCCTTGCTCCAGAGTAATAGTCTCTCCCTCTCTCTTTGTTTTTGTTTTTCTCTCTTTGTTGGATAAGGTTGGGTGAGGGGGTGGGGTGGGGGGTTGAAGGGTATTGCTCTTAGTTCTCGGTGTTCTATATAACCATTCAAGTGAATGCTAAGAATAGTTGTCATTTTATCCAAATTTCTGTTTAATTTTGCAGGGTCAGAGAATTCAGACAATTTTCAGAAAAAAGTGACGTATATAGTTTTGGTGTATTCCTTCTGGAGTTAGTGAGTGGGCGAGAAGCAAGAGATTTTGCATCTTCTGACTCAAACCAGAACATGGTTGAATGGGTATGTGCTAGTGTGTCTTTACAACTGTTGGAATGCATTAGTCATATGATGGTATGCATTCAAATGTTTGCTTACATTGCCTTCTCTTCTCTATATCATATAGTGAAGGACCGGAATGGTACACTAACTACTTGCTGTGGTGATTGTTTATACACAATATGATAGTTAAAAGTTTAATTGCTGCAACTTGCCAACATCACTGTTGAATCTTGAATACGTTGGTAATTTCTTGTTAATGTGTGAAAATCTTAAACTAAAGTTGTTTAATTTTGTTGTTGGGTCTTGTATAAAGGTGAAAAATATTCAAGAGGGCAGCAATGTATCGTGCATCATCGATGAGAGGTTGGGGAATAGCTTCACAGGTGAAGCTATGGAAGGGTTGATACAGTTGATCATGCGATGTGTGGAAACTTCGAGTGAGAGGCGACCAAGCATGAGCAATGTGGTAACGGAGCTGGACCGGATAGTTGAGAAAGAGATGAGCTTGACAACAATCATGGGGGAAGGAACTTCTACAGTGATCCCGGGAAGTCAGTTATTTAAAGCAACAAAATAAAAAGACATTGTGTGCGTATGGCATCGCATCCTCCAAATTATTAAAAACTTGGAGGAGTGATATTTGTGAAATAGTTGTTTTTTTTTTCTTCTGTGAAAAGAAAAAGGAAATTGTTATATTTTTTTTTAGGTTTCCTTTACTTGCTGAAACATGAAACAAGAGAAAGAGAAGAGAGAAGAGAAGAGATATATCAGCTGTTCGATGAGTGAATAAAGCATTATTTTTTTATTTGATAACTTTTACACGATGATGAATGTAAGAGAAGTGTTTTTCTTGTTATATAAACCATTATTTGTTGTTAATATAAATTGGAATTTGGATGTAGGTTTTGGGTTGCTGTTATATATGCATGTTCAACTGTTGCACTCTAAAAATTTAGATTGTTAATAGCAATTCTCGTCTACATACATATAACGGCATTTCAGCACTAGGTGAGGACAAGGCCTTTTCACTTTATGTATGATTGCGAGCGAGATTTTTAGGTTTGTGTCAGTTGGAGAAGAGGAAACTGCGATTCATTTCATTTCTTGTAAATTTGTAAATTTGTAATACAGAGGTGACTGGAGAGGATGCTGCAATGTCTCTCTCTGAAATTATCGTCGTCGTCGTCACCCTCCTCAGCAGCAGCAGCGGCTCCCAATGGCAATACTCATTCTCATCCGCCTCCCCCGTCGCAAGGTATTGGTCTGGGTCTGGCTCAATTTTTGACAATTTGGTAATTGAATTCAATTTCTTGACGTAATTTCAGGAGGAACGAGCTCTGAGGCATCGCCCTCCGCCACTCTCACCCACGAGTACACCCGCGCCGTCCAAAGCCAATCCTACAATGAAATTTGGTCCAAGGTTCATCAGGTCCACGACCACCACCATGATCCTGGTCATGATGAGCTGCCGCTGGAGGAGGAGGACCACGACGAATCGGATAATGAAGAGAGCCGCCACCGCCGGAGTCAGAGGCAGCACCAGCTTCTGTTGGGGCGAGTGCTTCAGCCCAACCGAGAGTGCGTCCAAGAGGCGCTTCGCCTCGCCAAGCCCAACTCCCTCACTCGCCTGGTCTCCGACTACTTCGACCAGAGCGAGAACACGACCCAAGCCTGCCTGCTGCTCCTCCACCGCAGCGTCTATCGAGCACGCGAGCTCTATGCTCCGCTCCACCAACTCCTCGACGCCGTCGTCCACTCTGACTCTGTGGAGTCGTCACTGAGCCTCAACCTCAGCCTCAGCCAGTCCCAGTGCCGTCGGGCCTTGGACGTCTTTCTTCAGTTCGACCTCCACGACAACCCCTTCCCTTCCCCTGACGACGCCGACTCCCCCAATTTGGACAACATGCGCCGTTGCTTCTCCCAGCTCAAGCTCCAGCTCGACAGCCGCCTCCGCTCCTCCCGCTCCAAAATCCGCCTCATTCGCCGCGCCACTCTTGCCTCCGCCCTCTGCTTCATTGGCACTGCCGTTGGAGTCGCCGTCTCTGCTGTGGCTGTCACAGTCCACGCTCTCACTGCCGCCCTCGTCGTTGTTGCAGCGCCGCCTTTGTGCTGCACTGCCACTAGCACTGGCTCTGGCTCTGGTAGAAGCACCAGTTGTTGCAATTGCCGCACCATGACTACCACTGAGAAGAAGGAAATTGCCAATATGAAGCAACTTGATGCTGCTGCCATGGGTACTTGTGTCCTCGACAATGACCTTGCCACCATTGACCGACTCGTTCGCCGCCTCCATGCCGCAGTGGAGGGGGACAAGCTTCTGGTTCGCCTGGGATTGGAGAGGGGATCTGTCAGTGGCACTGCGGTCGACAAGCATCCAATTCAGGAGGTGCTGAAACAGCTGCACAAGAGCCACCCCAATTTCCTGCAACTTGTGGACGAACTTGAGGAGCATATATGCCTCTGCTTTAACACCGTCAACAGGTCCAGATCGCTGCTTTTCCAGCACATCTATACACTTTAATCTCTATCTACTGAGTAAGTGCTGGTAATTCCTATTTCCTATAACACATGTAGCAATGTACCATCGTGCATCATTGCGTTGCGTACTTACCATCTTCTCTCGGCAGCATTGTTAACAGATGAGGGCAGTAAGATGCGTGAACGAGCCCACTCAGCAGCTGATTCCACCAGTATATCGTCAGCAAATTACAATCAGGGCTTGAGGCTTGGCTGAATACAAGTGTGTATCAAGATTATAGTCTTGTTCAGAGTAAATATCTTCATTTGCATCTGCATTATCAAGTATGAGCCTGCCTGCTTATGTTTTGAACTTGTATTCTTGTGTTGATTCTTAAGGAGTAAAGATTTAGAACAATCTCTATACAGTCTATGCTTGTTAGGTTTTGCTATGTGCATCCGGAGATGTCCATTGTTTAGTGTTTATTCCAACTAATGAGTCTTATCAGCAATCATCATTGCTTGTATAATCTCGTCTCGTTGTTCATTTTAGGGGTGTGTTATGCACACACCCCATTTTACTTCTCACACACCCCTTGATAATTTCCGTCCGTTGATCTTCTTCAATTCATCCGATCCGACAGCTGAAAATTAAAAAGGTGTGTAAGAAGTAAAATGGGGTGTGTCGATATCGCACCCCTCATTTTATTATCGACTTGTACTCGTGGTGCCATCTATTAAATGTTGACTGGACGTTTTTGTTTAAGGGATAGCTGGCTATTGCAAATTTATGCCAATCTGAATCTGTTTTTGTCTTACCTAATAGTACCTATGAAGGTGACAGCTTCTCATGGATGTATGATCCGGTCATCCTTCCAGTTCCAGGTGATAGCTTCATAGCTGATGACCATCAGGGCGATGTGCGATGTGAAATTGTGAATACCATTACTCACTCTAGCAGAGAGCTGACTTGAGAAAGAGAATAGTTGTTTGCCTCAGAAGAGTTAATTCAAGCTTCTTGTGTTTTGTTGAGTTGAGTTGAGTTGTTTGAAATGTGGATATATTTTACATGTTTATTTATTAAGAACATCTTTGATCATGCTCCATGGCCCTATTTTTGTTTATGTAAACTTGAACTAAAAGAAAAGAAGCAAAAGCAATTTAAACAAGTAAAATTTCCTTAGAAGACGGCCATCTAGGGCTCTATTTATTGGGAATTAACATACTGTGAGTAGGAAAAAGGGGGAAATTCTATTCCAAACAAGGAAATAAATATATGGAGTTGTTGTGAGCAGCAGAAAATATCAAGCATTGGGGGTGGAATCTTGTTTTGCCTTAAGAACAACCTCCTCTGTGGTGGTGCCAATGATCTCGTTCGCACGTTTCAGCCCTACGCTGTTGTATCGTCCAAGGGTATCCTAAATTCATTCATAGCCATAGCCATAGGCATGGGTAATTAATTAGAACGAGTCAGTAGTACTAGCACTACTAACGTTTGATCGTAAGCCTTACCCGAGTAACAATTCCCAGTTTCTCCAACTTCTGAACTGCATCGTCCACATCAAAATTACAGTCGTCGTTAAACTGTTCTTTGATTAGTTCCTCACACCGCTTGTCCAGATCCTGCAACACATACATAAACATAGCACTTCAATTCAACTTTGTTGCAATATTCTTATGATAGGAACAGGAAGAGATCAAATCCAAGAGGAGATGTATATGTCATACTAGTAAGGTAGCTTTCCCTTGTTCCATTAATATGTAAAATGAAATTATCACCTCCTTCACCTGCAAATACATTCAACAAGAATATTTTGTTACTGCACCAATAAATAAAAATACATTAATGTCCAGTCCAACAAAAATTCATCCGAAATTATCAGGCTTACTTCCTGTTGAATCACATCATCGCACAAGTGAAGGAGAGTACCCCGTCCGCTATCCAATTGTTTTTCATACATGGACTGTGTTATCAAGTTCTGATACTGAGCCAAGTTCTGCTGATAACTACACGTACGGTACGGTCATGCCGATGCATATTATTGATATTGAAATTGAAATTGAAAGAAAATGTGCCGACCCACCCAACCAACTTCAGGACATATGAATATTACAACAAAATACTTAACCTGAAGTATGTCTTAGCAAAGTAACCAATCACAGTGGAAATAATCGCAAAAATGACCCAAAGATCAATTTGAGGCATTTCGAGCGAAGTAACAACTGCAACCTGCCGTAACACAAACAAATGGTGATTACCATTAAGCTGCATTTTCACAATATAAAAGAAAAATGACAAGATTACTGTGCAGCAGCAATACAAACTTCATTGCTGCTATCAAGAAACTGACCAGCCCTACTACGGCAGAGCCAACGAACGTGAGCCAGTCCATTGGAGTTAATCCTGGGTTCTTCTTCTCAGGCTGTGTGAAAGACAAAAGGTTTCATTTCTTACTCCAGTGCATCATTTATACGCATGTTACTTCAACGGGAAAATATAAAGCACTGTACAAATGCCCTGAGGGAGACAGTGAGAGAGAGAGATTCTCACAAGAACAATCTCCATATCGGCCATTGGAATGTTTTTAAAATGTTTAACATATATTCCCCGCTCTTCATTATCTTCGGTACTTGCTCGCCTGAAGAGTCATAATTCTTCTTGTCAATAAATTACTTTTTCAAGGTCCTTTCGAAAAAGATTATGCAAAAGAAGATAGTTCATAAAATAGAAAGTAGTACCTATAAACAACAATAATCCTATCAAAAGTTGGCTCTTGGATTGTGTTCTTGCACAGCAAATTTTGAATGCTGAAGGACACAGCATATATTTGTCATGAAGTGGAAATAACCAACATAAGATTGAATCGAAGGCATATATAATAGTCAACCTCAGTTCCATTTTTTCAATACGGATTCGTTCAACAAACAAGTCCTCTGGATCTTGGTCAGGGAGGCAAATATTATCATCCTTCTTTGGATCTATCTTGCACTGTGCCTCTTTCTTTTTCGAAAAGAACTTTTCTGTCCTGCAAGAACAAAATAATCAACAAGATTCTATTTGCACAAAGATGTTTTGGTCAAGTGACTTGAAGTTGTTCAACTATGTTGGTTGGATTAAAATTATTAATCATAACTAGTTTCTCTAGCTACAAATACGGAACATTCCATCCATGAATTAAGAAGAACTTAAAGCAACTTACTTGGTTAGTCTTAAAAGATATTTCCAGCAACGTGCAATGATCATGTCCACTTTCTCCATGATAAAGTAATCTGAAGTCTTATCAAGTCCAATGCCGCGTCGGAAGATGACGTACTGAAGCAAGATAACATCAAATGAGCCACTCGAATTTTAACAATGGATTTGAAACTTGCAGATGTTTGTTTGCAGTATTTGAAAATACCTTATCAGCAAAATCTGGAATGTTTGGGCAAGGATGCATGTTAAAGTATTTCCTCAAAAGTTTATTGTCAAGCTACGTAACATTTTGGGATCAGCAACCGAACGTGAAGATCGCATCGCATAAAAACCAAATTTCCAATGAAGCAATTTTGCTGAACTGAAACTAGTGATGAAAGGAAAACATTTTGGTGAGACGGTACAAACCTTAGATTCATCAACAACGATGGGAAGGTTTAGAAGATACTGCCCCGACTGCGCAACCTCAATTTCTTCGTTAGTCGCAATCTTGAAATTACTCTTTTCCATCACCTGTAAAAGGAGTTGGCAGTGCATAATTTGTATCATTTGAAGATTTCCTGTTTCTTTTTCTCTTGTTCATTTTACTTGTATGGGGCGCCGGGGGTATAGAAATGAAAACAAGAATAAGAAGGGGAAGCACAGCAGCCATAGAATAGAACCTGAAACAAGTACTTGAGGAAGTTCTGTTCAAGTACATCAATTTCTTGAGGAGAAAGCTTCTGCTGCTCCAATTTCTGACTCCCATGGACAGGATCAAACAGGGAGTATAGTTGCTGTGTGTATAGAATTGACAAATACACAATGTCAAAGTTAAACAAAACTTGATGAGATATCGGAAATAAATAATTGAAATTTGGGACATGCATGAATAATATCTGGAAAAGAAAAGCGAAAAGATGATCCGGAGCATAGCATATTATTCGCATATGATATGCATACCATCAAATCCTCAAATTGAAGAAGATACCAAGCCCGAATTGTGTACTCGACTCTCTTACAGAGCTTGAGAAACTCAGCGCGATCAGAACTTTCCTCTAGAGAATATTTGAGAACCAGGTTCCAGTTAGCAAGCAAGAATTACAAAGACAGTCAAAGGCAATGGCATGATTAGATCATTACAAGTACAAAGTACATACCGATGAGGTTAGCCAAGGTCATGAAGAGTTTGGGCTTGAGAACTTGAATGGCGGATTCACGCTCTAACCGAATCATGTCTTTCTTACCCATTTTCCTTTTTCTTCTTGTTGAGCCTTTGGCTTTGAGATTAATTCAGTTGTCTGTAACTCTCTGAGTCTAATAAGCCTAGCTATTACTTAGTTCCATTCATGCCTTTTCTTTCTCACAAGCAGAGAGAGAGAGAGAGAGAGAGAGAGAGAGAGAGAGAAATGCATGCATGCATGCAGTTAATGAGAAGGGAAGAGAAAAGGAGGTAGGGAACGATCCCATCCAAGTGGTAACTGCCGCCACTTTTATCTCCGCAGCGACGGCTGACGACCCTGCAAACATTTGCCTTCCTACAATAGTGCGTCTTTAACGTCTCAAGTCTGATTTGGGGGATCCCCGTTGTTTTAGTAGCTCTCTCTTCTGCTCGACCCTCGCTCCATCTATCTTTTTCTGGTTGCCGTACTTGTTTACTTAGCTTCCCCCCACCCTACTTCCACTACATCCTCTTCTTGTACGTAACTTGCATTTATAATAAAACCATAACCTAAACCCTGCGAGTTTCAGACCACAAAATTAAATAAATAATTACGCAAAGTTTTGAGGTTAATGCAGGTTGATTTTTTCGGTTTTTTTGTTTTTATTTTTTATTTTTTTGTTTTTGTTTTGTGGAGGGGGTTGTTAATTTCCAACACGGAAGGAAACGCTATTAGCCAGCATCCCCGTGCGTTCTGTGCCAAATTTTACAATGATCCAGTTGCTTGCGGGATTGCATTGCATTCCAAGAGCAACTGACCGTCTCCTCCTCATCATCTCCCATACATAGACAGAGGCACTGGCAAAAATTCAAATCCCGACATTCTCGATCATATTTCATTCAACCACATCTTCATTTTCAAGTCTTGTGTAAAACAAGGTTGCTCACCAAATGCCAATACTGCTGCTGCTGTTAGAAACAGTGTCGCCAGAAGGCACGATCCACCTACGAGACTCGTGTTTGATCATCTCAGCTCGGTGGATGATAACGGTGATGGGGCATACTCAAAACAGAAACGCTGCAAAACACTAACTTCGAAAGACGACGACGGTAAAAGCATTCAACATTTCATGAGAGGAAGAGAGTTTGGAAATACCAGCCAACAAACAAAACCATGATATGCTAATATTCAAGCATTTGCCTCTACAGAAAACTTTAAAAGCCTCCAAAAAAATATTCCAAGATATTTCTCCATAAACAGAGAATAAGAAGAAAAAAGGATTCCCAATGAAAAATAAAATTCTAAACTACCAGCTAACAAATTTGAGATGCCAGGAATTGTCCAATAATCCCACGGTCTCCCCCCAACCCCTGCCTGCTGCTATCTGTCTCTGCCCCCATCTAACATATATGTACACGCTGTTGAGTTGGCCCTTGTATAGGTATGTACAAAGTCAAAAACCTATCTCCAACTCTGCACTTTCATCTACTGTAACCCTCACTTGTCACCATTTCCCGTTTACGTTACCATGCAAGAAAATTGTCTTACGGGTTCCATGACCTCAAGAATGGTTTACCCATTGGATCACGTAAACCAGAGTTCTGATGCGGTAAATTCATCCATTGCATATCATCATGCATCATGGGAGTGGCTGCTTCACGCCCACCCAAGTAATCAAGTTCAGGTCCTGCTTGTGGTACAACATTTCCGGACCTTGGAGTAACCCCACCCACCGTTCCATAGCTCCTAGAGGAAATGAACT